AATGATTTGTTAGGTCGATATACTGGTATATAGGATGATGCTATATTAGTGATCTGTTAGATCGGTTTGACTGTTTGTACATGCTAGCTAGCTTATGATATTATGTGTTGATTGTGTATGTGGGGTTGGGTTGAGGCGGACTTGCTTTGTGCTGAAGGCCAACAAACATAGGGCGGACCAGATAGACTGTAGACCCATTAGGGTATATCAGTTAGGCCGAAAACCCGGAGAACGGTCCAGACAGACTGAAGGCCCGGGTGGATGGACCAGACATGTTGAAGGTTTTGAGAGTGGGCTAGATAGACTGCAACCCCGGTAGGGGCAAACCAGTCTTACTGTAGACTCTATATGCATGTTGTTTACTTGCTATGATATGGTTATGATTTATATGGCGTTGGTATTTTGGGGAAACTCACTAAGCTTCGGGATTACGGTTTTGGATTTTGTTTCAAGTACTTCAGATGATCGTGGGAAGATGAAGGCATGATCGTGCACCTCCTCGCATTTTTATGATTTTGACTTTGGGAAACTCTTATATGAAACTATTTGGAAAACATTTTGTAATAAATTTTGGTTTTTGAATGTTGAAAAAGTTTTAAATTTTCATGAATTTTTATGGATGTTACAGGTTGGTATCAGAGCCTTGGTTTGAGTGAATTAGAGGAAAATCATGTGAATCCAGTCTCAAACTAAGGAAAAGATTTTCAAAATAACTTTCAAACGGTTTTCAAAATACTAAAGGAGTATGCGAAGTGTACAATCAGCCGGAGCTGGTAAGTAGAACCTAAAATACCATACAGTTATATGATATTGTTAGAACAACTTGCTAGTGATAGGCAAGGGATCTTCAGGAATTGCATGATAGAATTGTTTGATTATGTGATTCCTTAGTTCCTATAGTGTTTTCTTGTTTGAATGTTGTGTGACTATTTTGCATGTGAATTAGCTATTGAGTGAATGCGCTAAGTTACATGCTACACGGGTTAAATGATGTTAGGATGAGTCCAACCGTTGTAGGATTGAATCTCTTAGTCTAATCTTGTTTAAGTTGTACGATATGTGATTGTATTCATGCAATAGTTACCCAACACCAATGGAGGGTCGGGTGGCAGTTGTGGTAGGATGAGTTGTGCAGGGTCAGACATCCAGTTATGAGATATTTAGCCTTCCTCTAGGGGCGAGGATTGAGTGTTCGCCTATGTTTGAGTATATTGTTAGGGCGTTGTGATGACACTTGAGACAAATATGGGTAGGTGTGGAAGGTAGTATAGGCTCGTACTACTGAAAGCACAGGACCCATACGCGTAGCAAGGAAGTCACAGCCCCTAGGGATTTGTTGGGAGTTTGTTCCTCGTTATTATATAGGATGTTTGATATTTGTCTAGTATATTTTCAGCATGGTGGTTATAAGGCGATTTGTTACCGGATCTGGGTCGGAATCAAGAGCTGACAGTCACGGTAGACCAGTAGTGCCCGAGACCGTTGGCTAGATCCGGATGAGTTGGACGCTAGGATTCGGGAGATCATACAGGATGAGGTTGCTATACTGTTTCGGGCACAAGTATCAGATATGTTTGGGTCTATCAAGACCGTCATGGTTGAGTACTTTGATGAGCGTTATGTAGCCATTTCTGAGACAGTTACCGATGCATCCTCTGCCGCTGGTGGTGGAACTAGTCGGGCTTTTTAGTACCGGGACTTCAACAACACGAAGCCACCAAATTTGATGGGATTCAGGACCCGATCATAGCCATGAGGTGGCTATCTGATGTGGAAGGATGCTTCTTCACATGCTCATGTCCTACTAACCAGAAAGTCAGGTGTGCTCCGAACCTGTTGAGGTCCGGAGCAAAGGACTTGTGGAGATTGATGACAAGGTCATATATTGATAATCAGAGAGCTACGGTTTCTTGGGATCGGTTCAGGGAGATGTTCCACGCTAGCTATATTCTGCGGGTTGAGCGCGAGCGGCTGGCACATGAGTTTTTGGATCTGCGGCAGGTTACGGAGTCGGTGATGGAGATCACCCGTATGTTCACTGTGAGGGAGATGTTTTGCCCGAAGTTTTATTCCAAAAAGGCTCAAATGACACGTTATTTGAGCATGCTCAAGATTGACATTCTTTAGTTTGTTGCTACCCGACGTTGTGATACATTGCTGGAGTTACAAGAGGCCGCTAGGCGGCGTGAGTTGGAGATTGAGTTACAATTGCAGGAGCAGAGGCAGGCCCCAACACAGTCGCAGTCTGTGCCAAAGTGGTCCAAGACTGCTAATTCTAGGTCTGGGGGCCAAAGCGGCCACAATTGTGGAAAGTGCGGGAATAGTAATTTGGGAGTTTATAGATCGGGTAGTGTGTGCCGCAAATGCGGAAATGAGGGGAATTTTGCGAGAGATTGTCTTCAGTTAGACAAGTTAAGGATATGAGGATCTGTTATCACTACAATTAGGTTGGTCACGTGAAGACCAACTATACATTGCTCGCTGCCCGACCGACGTAGGCTCCAGTGCCGGCTACATTGAGGATTACTGACGGGAGACAGGGTAGAGCAGAGTCCCCGAGGGATCAGGGACGTGCCTTTCAGCTTATAGCTGAGGAGGCCAGGGCAGCACCGGATGTGGTGGCTAGTGTGTTTCCATCCTTTTATCTTATTGATTATATATGTTTATGCTTAATTTGTTTGTACCTATGTTAGGTACGTTTTTAGTGAACTCCTTTCTTGCACTGGTATTATTTGACACTGGGGCGAGTCGGTCATTTATCTCTCGATCATTTAGTAGGGAGATTAGTTTTCCTACAGGAGAGCTTGAGTGTCCATTGCGAGTCTCTATTACCAACGAACACGGGATTTCTGCTTCTTCACTCTATCGGGGTTGTGTTCTGGAGATCTTCGGGGTATCCTTCTTGATAGACTTGATTCTAATCCTCATAGGAGATATATGTGTGATTGTGGGTATGGATTGGCTGAGTCACTTCGGTGCCATGATTGACTACGAGGGTCTGCAGGTAGTAGTTCGAACCCCAAGTGAGGGAGAACTTGTTATCTACGGTGAGAGCACCAGGTTGGGTTCAGGAATTTGCTCAGCTGCTAGGGCTCGACCGTATATTCAGCACGAGTGTGCGGATTACTTGGCATACGTGACTGATACACGGGTCATGTATCAGGTCTTTGAGTGCCTCCTGAGACACAGGTCGAGTTCAGGATCGACTTAGTGTCAGGAGCGGCCCTTATCACCAAGGTGTTGTACCGATTGGCACCACCCGAGATGTAGGAGATGTCATCTCAGCTATAGGAATTGTTGGGAAGTAGTTCATCCATCCGTGCAGTTCCACGTTGGGAGCATCGATTCTCTCTCTTAGGAAGAAGGATGGTTCACACCGGATGTGCACTGACTATCGGGAGCTGAACAAGTTGACGGTAAAGAACCGTTACCCCCTCCCATGGATAGATAGCCTTTTCAATCAGTTACAGGGAGCATCTTGGTTCTCCATGATAGACCCAAGGTCCAGTTACTATCATGTTAGGGTTAGGGAGCAGGACGTGGAGAAGACCGTGTTCCGGATTCGTTATGGACATTACGAGTCCGTGGTGATGTCGTATGGGCTCACCAACGTACCGATAATATTTATGGACCTGATGAATCGGGTATGCAAACCGATGCTCGATCGCTCGGTCATTGTGTTTATAGATGACATATTGGTGTATTCCAAGACTAGGGAGCAACATAAGGAGAATCTCCGTGAGCTATTGGGAGTTTTGAGACGATAGCGACATTATGCCAAGTTCTTGAAATGTGAGTTTTGGTTGCGAGAAGTTCAGTTCCTTGAACATATCGTTAACCAGGATGGGATTTTGGTCGATTATCGACCAAGATTGAGATAGTTATGTAGTGGGAGGTTCTAAAATCTCCCTCATATATCATGAGCTTTTTGGAATTGGAAAGGTATTATTGGAGGTTCATACGGGATTTCTCCAAGATTGCAGTACCCCTCACTCGTCTGACGAGGAAGGGGTGGAGTTCCGATGGGGACCTGAGGAGCATACTGCATTCGAGACTCTGCGTCAACAACTGTGCAAGGCACCGATGCTAAAACTCCCTAACGGAATGGAGGATTTTGTGGTATTCTATGATGCATCGATCACCAGACTGGGAACAGTCCTTATGCAGAGAGGATGGGTGATATCCTATGCATCACGACAACTAAAGTTGCACCCATCCTTTCTGCACGAGACGAGATACCCTACACACGATTTGGAGTTGAGAGCAGTGGTATTCGCTCATAAGATTTGGAGACACTATATCTATGGGGTCTGTTGTACCATATACACGGACCACAAGAGTTTGAGACACATCATGGATCAGTCGAACCTGAACATGAGACAGCGCAGGTGGCTAGATGTAGTCAAGGACTACGACTGTTAGATCCTTTACCACCCAGGTAAAGCGAATGTGGTTGCGAACGCCCTGAGCCGCAAGTCAGTTGTATCTTCTATACCAGCAACATGTGTAAGGATATATGTGGATTCTCCACTGGTAGGATTGATTAGGGAGGCCCAGGCCGAGGTTGTACGATAGGAGAACTGGAAGTTGGATAGGATTAGAGGTGAGATCACCAGATTTGTGTAGGATAGTCGGGGATTATTGACTAAAAATTTAGCGCCTGTACTTTGTATTACTTACTCCTTTGTCTCCCAAAAACAATATATATATATATATATATATATATATATATATATATATATATATATATATATATATATATATATATATATATATAGTTATAGTTATAGTTATATAGTTATTATTGTAATTTGAAAACTTAGAAATGCTCCTACATTTTAAAAATAAAATAAAATACTTATAAAAAAAAGAATTAAATGTAATCCATTGTGATCAACTGATCATATTCAAGTCCATATCTGTTATGGTACATAGCACAAATATAAATATATTTATTTTTTTTACCTTAAATGATTTCAGTAAGTTCAATGACTAAAATGCAAATTTATAAGTTGTGGGACTCATAAAAAGTTGATAGGGTCTTATGATATCAATCACATAAATTTAAATGTGCCATGAGGAAAACATACAAAAATTAAACGAAATGAAAGTGAAACCAACAAATGAAACCTACAATCTTAGATTACCCTAAAATTAATTTTTATATTAATAGCCACAAGAATCAAAGTTGTACAAATATGGTCACTGGATTTTTATGTATCTCATAAATTTGTCGATTGTGTCTTCACATCTGCGCTCACGTCATTTGTTTTCGTGGTAGAATTTCCTTGATTTGTCTTTTTGTTGAACATATCCTCCACTTTTGCTTCCATTTCATCCATCTGCAAAAATAATTTTATTTTTAAGTTAATAATTTATTTTTATGATATAAGATATTATACAAATTTTAATTAAATTAAAAACCTCAATATGGATGATTGTAAATGTACGCTTATAAAAAGTGCATGATAGACATTGCTACGATTGTTAAAAGAATAGAATTCTACAAACATTACTGTATCCCCATAATACAACCATCAGTATTTTATTGTATTTAAATCAAAAACTTAACATATTATCTCTTAATATTAAAAAAAAAACTGTAATATTTTTTGTTTATTATAAACCATTTTATGTTCTGATCTTGTTTAAATTAATGTTTCATGCCAATTTTATAGCAATATACTTTATTAAAACCATAATATTTAAAAACGCTTTTATTGACATGTCTTTGAAACAAGTACAATGCACTCATTGACTAATCTAAAAACTTTATATATATATATATATATATATATATATATATATATATATATATATATATATATATATATATATATATATATATATATATATATATATATATATATATATATGTTCAGGTTCATTTAAGACCATTCTAATTTTGTGAGACCGTGAGACCAAATCTAAAAATAATTTTAAAATACAAAATAAATGGAAAAATCCAAAAATTCTTTTTTTTAAATATTATTTTCGGAACTTGAATTAACTAGTAAAAAAAATCCATTTTTTTTTTGAAAAATAAGTGAAATATTCTAATAGAATATTACACTGATATATTCTAAAAAATAATTTTACAATGCAGAATAAATAGAAAAATCTAAAAATTCTTTTTTTAAATATTATTCTCGGAACTTGAATTAACTAAAAAAATTAATAAATGCGTCTCACGGTCTCACAAAATTAGGCCGTCTCATATGAACCTAACCCTATATATATATATATATATATATATATATATATATATATATATATATATATATATATATATATATATATATATATATATATATATATATATATATATATATATATATATATTGGAACATGACATAAGTTTTCTAAGATTTTCCTTAAAAAGGTGCCAAAGTTATTTTGTCGCTTGGGCATGTGCACAGACCCATGGGAGCTACTATACAAAAGAATCTTCCTCAACTAATGTAACTAATTCAATTGTCTGTTTTTTTGTTTTGTTTTAAATTATTAATGCACAGTTGTGTTTTCTTATTTAATCCATTAATTTCAAACATTTTAAAAGGTTTACTTTTGCGACAAATATAACTTCAAGTTTGATACAATTTATCTAGATTATAACTGATGTACACCATATGTTGGCTTTTTTATGGTCTCCCTAGGGACAAAAGGTAATGATAAAATATCATGTTATGTGGTTTCAACTTTAAACATCATCATCTTAAACTTTCCTACTATTTTTTTTAGAACTACATATCAAATACCAAACATGTTAAGACTGATTTGATACCGTCAAATCATAAGATTAAACCAAAACAAGCATCTCATGTTGTGATAACAAGGTTTTAGTAAAAAGTTATTTACTTAAACACATTATATTATTTTAAATGTTTAATGGTTAGTCCAATAAATGAATGTTGCACTAATTATTTGATTTTTTTTATCCATAGTCATTGTAAGAAAACATAAATATTAGAATTACGGAAGACAATAATTTTATTTTCACATAATTATAAATCATAGATCACCAACCATGTTCTTTTGATTTTTTTAATCTCTTAAATTTTAGTACAAGTATCGTTTTTTATGATAAAGATAAAAATATATGCATTTAATTATTTAATTGTATTGTTTAATGACTTTAATCACTAAATCTGACAAGATATCCGTCTAATTATTTAAATATCACATAATACTTAAATAACCAAAAATTTAAAATCTCATTGGTAGGTAGCAATTTGCATGTGGAGTCCATTAATAATTTATTTGTTGGATATATCTTTGGTAGGTAGTATTCATGAAATCATATTATTATTTTATTAGCTATTTAACTTAAATTTTTATTTATTTTTTCAAGAAAGAAATCGTCTCATAATCGAATTAATTATAGTTCTTTTTAGCAAATCAAATCTTAGAGAACTATAAGTATATACATAAATATTTTAATATAATACTAGCCGTTTAATCAGTGAAAAGTAGTTATAAATTTATAAAAAAGTTTAGAATAACAAACATAAAAAGCTAAAAACTTAAAAAAAAAAACTTAAAGTAACTTTTAGATAATAAATTTTTTGTTTAAAATAAAAATTTTAATCTCATATAATTATACCATAAATATAACAAATACCGAAAGAGGTAAAAGTAACGGTTACCTTATCAACTATATCAGAAACCATGTGAGCATCTTTGCCTATTTTATCAGCAATATTTTCAACTTTTTCCAAAGTTGATTTTAAAACACTGCCTTCCGGCAATTCGTTTCCTATTTCATCCACGAAATGCTCCACCTTCTCCGCCATCTCTTCCACTCTGTCCGCCACGCTGTCCACCGCCTCCTCCACCTTGTCCAGCTCCTCTGTATATATATATATATATATATATATATATATATATATATATATATATATATATATATATATATATATATATATATATATATATATATATACTTCTTAATCTCAAAATATTAATCTATATACTTCTTCTTCCAAAATGATTTTACCTTTGAATTTCGCAAATGGCCCCCATTTATTGGTGAAGAAGGGTACGATTACAGCCAATAGAAATCCAGGAGTCCATGCTGGCCTGCAAAAATATAAATACTTTCTACCTGTTATTTAATTTAAAATTATATAAAAACAAAAAATATGATTAAATAATTAGTATTTTAAACAACTAACCAAGAATCGGGCAAATGAATTCCCAAGGGGAGGAGATCTCCGATTTGGTCACTGGCATAGACGATAAACTCCCTGAAATTTTATCTTTTTGTATTCATCATACCAGAAACACATGTGATAACATTATTGTATTTAAAGTTCATATAAAAAACTAAACCCATCACTTTCGAATTATATATTTTACGCGATCATTTTTTGACCCGACTCTACTCTACCGAATTCATTGATGATTAACATTGATGTATGTGCTTCATTTGGTTTATCTTTGACTCTTAAAAAAACATTATTATTTCAAAAAAAAAAATTAGTAAAATAAAAAAATTCCGGGAAAGATCGTTGCATTTACATTTTTTTTAATACCCAAAAAGTTTTATTGAAAAAGATTTCAATTCAAAGCTCTAAGAATTAGTTTGAACTTTGAAGTATAAGATTAGTAAGATATATAGATAGAGAAGGGGAGGCCCGGAGGATGGAGTGACTTACATCTTTGACTTGGTACGACGACGAGAAATCTGGCTGCCGGAGGTGAGATACCTGCGGTTAGCGGAAGAGAAACACCCATCAACGTCGGTCAGTTTTGGCAGTGATACGGTGGATATGGCGGTGGTGGAGGAGGATGAGGAGAAAGGATCAAAAGTGTTTTTATGGGGAGTGGCAATTACACTACAAGTGACAATGGAAGTTGCCATATTCATAATTTGTTTTGGTTTTTAAACACGATCAAGATCCGAAGCTACTTATAGCCTTATAGGTATGAATTAATGGAAGATGATGAAAAGTTGAAAAGTCAATGGGGACGTATACATATATTAAAACGTGCATATAAAAAACTATCCACTTGTGCTGCACGATGCATAGAAGATAGGGTTAGTTTGGTAATTTTATATGTTTATTTTCCTTATTCTTCTTTTCTTTTCTTTTCTTTTGTATCTATGGTGATAAATTAACTACAGAATCACAATTACGGTTCTCATTATGGTTTGATAAGATTAGACCAATATCGTTTGTTGAATTCACAAGGATATATAACTATTATATACAGTGTTTTTGTAATTGGTTTTTGAGGTTATATTTTGTTGCATGGTTCTTTTAAATAACATCGTTGATATTGAACTATAAAATATAGGCATGCGCAAACGAAGTAACGAACCGAACCGATCGGAATCGGCCTGACCCGGGAACCGGCTTCGGCCGAAATTAAGAACCGAACGGTCCTGGTTTTTGCCGGGTCTTTTATTTTGGAACCGGTCTTCGAGAAATAGCAACATATTTTTGGGTTACGGTTTCGGTTTATGTCTGGTCCTTGTCGGTTTTAGTTTAGTACATATTTGTGTGTACTAATTGTTTGATAAATGATCTATAGATATTGTTTGTAATTTTGTAAAAGTGTTGGATTTTGTTTATTTTTTTTTTGTCTTATTTATATATATATATATATATATATATATATATATATATATATATATATATATATACACACGTGTGAATAAAACTGTATGTCTACATTTATATGTTACTATTATGTTTATGATAGCTAATTAAAGTTGAGTACCAAATGACTTTTAAGTTAAAAACTTGTCAAATGTTGAATGTATTATTATTTTAGGAACATGCACTAATTTATGAATGTAATCTACATAAAAAAGCATTTGCTGGACAATATATGAAAAATTACAAGTTTGATATTACCAAAAAATAAGTCAATTTCTCTCTTTCAAACAACCATTGCACCATCATTAACTATTCAACATTCAAACATTCAACATTGAAAATATACTTTCAAGTTTTCCTAAAAAAAAAAAAAAGTCTAATATGTGGATTCCAACATCTATTTGACATTTTGACTAATTCTCCGATCTCTTCCCCATTAGCTTCAAGTTGTATATAGCATCCACAAAGTTTATATATAATACAAAAGAAAAACATTATTACTTAATAAAATTTAACAATTACTAATAAGATGTTAAAAATAAGATGGAACAAGTATTAGTGTATTACCAATAGCGAGGTCATCGCCAACTAACACATCGTGCACTTCGTCATAGTTGATGGGTTTTGGTCATAAGACATCCTATGTGCTCATACAAACCCTAATGCTTGGATCTAGGTTTCTCTATTGTACATGCTTTGAATCCAAGACTATAAACGCTAATTCTAGCATATAAATAATCATATTAACATAAGAATGGGTTTAAGAACATACCTTGATTGTTATATAGCAATAACAATCCCAAATCTCCTTGTATTGACTTTGGAATGCTAAGAGTCACAAGTGTCACTCCTCTAATGGCTTACAAACACCAAGAGCAAATGGAGAAGGTATAAAGAGAGAGGAGAGAGGTTAGAATTCGTCCTTAGGACTCCTTGGGAACAAGTACATGAATTCTAAGGCCTTAGGGTCTTTATATAGGTGTAGAGATAAGGTTTCAATCATTATTCTTATCTAGTTGCTTATCCACAAAGCAACCATAAGATAAGCCTTGAAAACCCTTATCCTTTATCCTTTGGACGATATCAAGGATCCTTATCTCCTTGAATTCGTTCAACCCATATTTAGGATAACCATTACCATATTTTGTAACTATCACATAATTACAATTCAGCCCCTCTAATTTAATTAATTACACTTGATCACAAAATTAATTCCTAATTAATTATTGACCAATATTAATTAAGCAAATACGATTTCTCCTTTAATATATTATTCTTATAACATATTAATAAATCATAATAACCTCTCTCTCTTTATTTATTTCTCCAATCAAGTTGCTTTGGTGAAGGCAACCCAAAAGGACCATGCACCATCGGGTCAAGTACATACCAAAATAGTTATGGACTTAGACACTAATCCAACAGTCTCCCACTTGGATAAGTCTAATAACTATTCTGCGTATGACTTCAGATCCTGATCTGCAATCGTAGCTTTCCAAAGCCGCTGTCAACTCTGATCCTATCAGATACGCGTGTCCTTAGATAAGGGATCATATATTCCTCCATTCTAGATATCGTATGAGATATGATTTCAAATCATTCTCTTTGTACTACTTCTCGATTTCCGATTTATGACGACATACTAATTGAACAAATCAAATTAGCCCTAACCCGGCCGAGCATTTACGTTTGTCATCACTAAACCATCGAGGGGCCCAAAGATATCGCTTTTATCCTACCTTGGATAAAAGGAACGGATAAACTTTGATACAATGCTTGCTTGCACTAACTAATCAAATCACACACAACAATATGTTTTATAACACCAAGTTACTAGTGCGTTTATATATTATCAATGTGCAACCGATTCGCAAGATACAACTCACACATCTCGGTTTCAAGAATATAAGATGTTATCGTCTCACCAATCACTCGTAATACAATTCATGGAGTGATCCAAGTGAGCGTGGGTTTAATCCAATGCTCAAATCATATTCATAAGCAATCATGAACGTTGCAGCAAACATTTGCTTATGTCTAATACTCTTCTAGACAATCCATACACCAATTCACGACAGTCTTCATTCATATGTACTTCCAACATATGAACGACTGTGGCCCGTTCGAATAATTCAATTATTCTTAATAAACTCAATTATTCTGGAAGTCAAAACATGCAAAGTGAAACACAAGAATAATACTAATCCTATATGGCCTCAAACCTTTGAGTATAAATAAAACTCCTTGTATTTATCACCATATTGATTACTCATTATTTGTCGTTTCGGGTAATCAACTTCTTACTTGAATTATTACACTTGTCCCATGCACCTAGCATGCACACAATGTTTACCTATAGTTCTTACTTTTGTGAAATAGACAAATTGCACACATTTCCAATCATTCTCATTTCACAACTCCAAATCCATTTTCATAAGTGAAAGAATATCAAATTCTTGTTACTTATAGAATATGCTAGATTCTAACATTCTATGCAATGATTCTTTCGTAATGTCACTGCACCAAAGTCACAAAGACTATTGCTAATGATGTTACAAAATCTTCTATCGGAGATTGTTACAAGACAATTCCTTAGATATGATGTCTCTCACTCAAAGTACATTCCTTTGAACATCCTTTTGCATAAAAGTTTCTAATCTAGTCATAGATTTTCAATATTTACTTCCTAATATGAGCACGCTTCCATATTTTCCTCATGACAACTCATTCTTAATAGAATCTTTTCTATTTGTAATGATGTCAATATGGTCCATTAATACCATGCTTCCAACTACTCACAAGCAACCAATCCTCGTCGAACTTTGGATTGTTCTTTGATAGTTGTTTAATTATTTTAGTCAAAACCAATTCTAGTCCCGTTTTCCCTCTAAATGTGCTAGACATTTGGAAAATTTTAGAATGGTCAAACATTAAAGCATTTGCAATCGATCCTATACCCGAAGCGTATGGGACACGACGCATAATGTTTTATTTGCTATGTTCTCAAAATTCGAATTGTGAAGAGGAATGCCGTAATCATAATCGAAATTTTAAGAACACACTATGTACCTTTGACTAAATTTATCAACATTTCTCAACCTAATCCTTTAGATTTTAAATGAAGCATAATATTCTCTCCCTTAATTATAGCAAAACAACTTTACAACCCTTACGACTTTGCAAGGTATAACTCTTGTTTTTCTATAATTAATATTGCCAACTTGCAATACTTTCCATAATAATCATACAATCATAACTTTTATGCTCCCACTATCATGATGATTACTATAAAACATAACACTTATGCTCCCACTAGCTTCGACATGTATTCATAAACATCTTAACTTTCAGAAAGACAATACCTATTGAATTTCTTAAGTCCATGTTTCTAATACTTAGTGCTTTGATAATCTTTTATCAAGGCTTCTTGAACTTATACACCTTTGCCTTAGATAGTTCATATGTGTGTCTTAAAAATTAAGACTAATTGCCAAACCTCACAATTCAAATTATGGAAAGGGATACCGTAACCATGATCGAATTCGAGAATGCAATTTTACAATCACTATCTTCTTAAAATCTTTCTTAGTGAAAGCATTTCCTCACAATCATTTTCATGAAGGAGGAAATCTTATGACACTTAGATTTAAATGGTGTATTTGTTCCTATCCATGTGAATTTGTTAAAACCAAAGTTTACGACAAATTCAAACTCATATGGACCGAGCCTTTTTTAATCTTGATTTCTTGCCTTATGGTAGCACAGCTGCCCACCACGTCTTCCAAGTAGTTAAGCAGCTCACCTTTTCCTATCAATGTACCTTTCATTGATTAAGGTGCCTTGCCTTTTATGCGTTCAAGATGAGAACTCATAGGACTCAAATGCATAATTAACTCAATTGGAACAGCACAGAATCAAAATATTGTCAACACGATAGGTTGTAAACCTCAACTCGTGTGCTAGTGATGATCGATAAGGTTTATTTGATTTGTTCTTGAAACTTTTCAAGACTATAAAGACTCCCACTGACTCCTTGACATATGCGATTCTTTTGTCAATAAACATTTCTTGACAAACAAATATTCAAGAGTTAGTGTAGTTTTTATCAAAACACTTCATAAATTGGTCCTATTCGATCTTTGTCTTATTCAAGACATCACAACTTTCCACATTTGATGAATGTTATAAACCTTTAATACTTTTCACTCATTGTCACAATCTTAAATTTAAGACTTGTTATTGGAACGAAGTATGATAGACTTCTTGATTAACCATTTCTTCAATCCTTGATTCCTCTTCTTAAACATACAATTGTACTAAGACTCACTTAGAGGATCAATTGAGATATGGTTCTTAATCATTAAGACTTATCATAAAGCATAAAAGCTACTCTCCCTTCTTCTTAGAATGG